AAAGAAATATTTTTTGGTAAACTGTAGAAATGTAATTAAAGCACAATCTTTATCATTAAACAATTAATGTTGGGGAATGCATGGTTTAATGATCAGGAATTCACTTTGTGAATACTATATGAAAGGTGTGTGAAACATGCAGGATGACATCCATCATTACAAAAAGCTTATATCATATCACTTGTCTGTCTGTCTGTTGAAAGTTTGTACACATTTCTCCAATAGCCTATTTTGGATCAAGCTTAAATTTAGCAAAATTATTTCTTTTATCTGACAATACAAGAATCAATTAAAAAAACAACAACAATTAGTTAAATAACTATTGGTAATTAATTATTTTGTTTGGTATCTTGAACAAAAGAAAGAAACAGTACTTGAGTGATGTGGTGGTATAAGCTGAATTAGCCCCCTTTATACTTTGTAGGTCCACACTTTAGGGTTTGAAGCTAACAATAGGTAACTATAAAACCCATAAGCAATTCTTGGGCAAAGTGGTTAGTGTATCTGCTTAAGGAGGCGTTAGCCCTCGAGTTCCAATTCCGGTCGTCAATCTTTTTTTAATAAATGCAATCACCCAGATAACCCTTCTTTCTACCCCTAACCCTTTCCAACTAGTCCAGACATACCACATTGAGAAAGCTAAAAGCATGAAATTGTGCTAAACAAAAACAATTGGTAAAAATGTTTGTAATCGTGCAATTTATAGTAGTTAGTCTAGATCGATTCCAAAGTTTGATACTTGACTGATCCAAACTAATAAACTAATTGATACAACTACAATTTTTTTTAAAAACTATTTTTTAAAATGTTTTTCTTGTTTTTTTTTATATTATAATAGGGATACCATAAATCAAATATACCATTTTTTTTGTGTGTGTTTTCTATCAGTTTCACTTTTATGATGTTAGAAGTTAACTCAAAAACAAGTATCTTGGTAATAGTCATAAAAATTAATAATAAATATATAATATTAATAATATAATAGTGATAAAAGAACTAGAGTGAACATTAAGTCTAGAGATAACAGAGAAGTGCATGATGGTTGTTAAATGACCTAAGCTCAACTAGATCTCTGTGTCAGTACTCTTAGCATAAATAACTGAAATTGCATTATGTGATTGTTCATGAAATGAAGCAAAAGTAGAAATGAAACCATTGAGCAAATAGTTGTACCACAGCTGTAAGGGAAAACAGTAATGGAATCAAACTACTCCAAAAAGTTGCTATTGACATTACCATGCCATTGCCTAATGGAAGAATGATATCTAGTTTTAAACAAACTGCAGCAGGTAATACATGGATTCCCAGTCCAAATTTACTATGATAGTATTCAAATATTAATAAATATACTTCAACAATTCCCTTACTGGAAACTACTGCAGCATTATAATTATTATTATTCACATACAGATAAAGTCAACAAGAAATTACAGGCTTTTCTCCATTCAAAATGCTCTAAATGCTCTGGGAGGTCTGCAGTAAAAGGATTATTAATGGTGCTGAAACACAACACACACAGGGTTGTTTGCTTACACCTCTCCTGTTTCTTTTAGTATTGGATTGGGTTACAAAAGAAGCCTACTGTAATTCAGGGAAAGGAATCCAATGGACTTTCATACAAAAGCTGAAAGATCTGGAATTCATGCATGTTTGAAATGAACTATAGTCGTTCTATGACTGAAGGAGACCAATAATATAGATCTAGATATGTATATCTACTAAGTTTAAGATTAGATTATACTTAAAACTAGACCTAGATAGTAAATTATTTTTAATTATAAATTACATGCTAGACGATAGCAGATCTAAGAATTTAAAGAATAGAATAGTTCTATCATCTAGTCTAGATTACTCTAGACAGTCTGGATTACTCTAGACAGTCTAAATCTGGGTCTTATTAAAGACCTGAATCTAGAGACTCTATTTTTACTCTATCTAGTACTGATCTAGAATTATAAATTATATAGATAGATCTAGATAAGTAGATTTAGACTCAAGTGTCTCTAGATCATACTCATAGATGTACTGTTTTACTGTAGAAGAGGGAAGGATTAGACATTAATCTAGATCAAGAAAAAAATCGGCTAAAAACTGAACTAAAAATTACTTATATCTAGTATTCTAGTTACTTACCAGATCAAAACAAAGTAATATAAACTTAGACTAATTCTTCAATCTCTTGTCTTAAGTTACGTCTAGTCTAGATCTATTCTTAATTATTCTAGATCTAGTATTTATAGACTAGAAAGAGAGTCTAGAGTGGAGTCTATTTACTAGAGTCTAGTGGAATCTACCCAGTCTAGAGGACTAGAGACGTAGAGATATGGCTCTAAATCATGATCTATTGAGACTATACTGAAAAATAATACTAGATCTAGAACCTATACAAAACCAAATCTAGGCGACTTTTCACCCCCGTTTTAATGCAAGATCTATATAGCTCTAGACTTGATTAGACACTCTCCCTCTCTAGAATCTAAAACCTAGAGATCTAAATTGAAAGCACGGTCACAACAGACATTGGATGTCAAACGGATATGCCAGGTTTTGAACATTTTTCAGATACCGTGAAAACGGTGAACATTGGACAAGCCGTTTATATATCTATGTATTAGTATATATCAATCTCTATTATCTAGTCTAGAATTGTAAAAATTGTAGCATACAAATAGATATACTCTATGTATATAGATATTCATATTATATCTAGATCTAACAATCTAAACGTGGAAGCTATGGTTTGCGAATAAATTTTACAAAATATTTTGTTGTTGTTGACTAGATTTAATCGGTAGGCCTAATTTCATTTTTAATTAAATATTTTTTTAAAGTCTTAAAAAGTTCATGGAGGAAAAAAAACGTGCGAGGCACTGCGTTCAACAGACTGAAACCTAGAATTGGAATCAACATTTAGATTTTAGATTTAGTCTAGTTGTCTGATCTAGATCTGGGCTAGTGTCAATAGATCTAAATAGGGCCTATAGTATATAATCTAATATGAACTAGATCTACATGAAATTATATGACAAAACCGAACTTTATTTTACAACGAATCTTAGCAAATCTTTAACCAGTACCGGTAGATTTAGATTATATTATATATTTTAAAGCACACAAACACCTTTTAAATGTCACAATCAGATGTCTATGGTCACTATGATCTTCGATTTCGAGGCGATTATGGATTATTTCATAGAAATGAAATGAATGCCTGGGAATCAGCAACGCTATGAATCTAAAACCAGGACTTACTGCAAGAAGCATTAGATCTAAATATACTAAATCCTTTCACCTACAACTTAACTTTTATGCTTAGCTAATGCTATCCTTTCAATTATATTAATGATTACTAAATCAATATAGGCCTGCATTATAAATAGAAAGATTAAAACATTACACAGAAAAGGTTCATAATGAACATAAGTTAACAAGTTTTTTTAAAATGATTATTCGACTTACAAATACATACATTAACAAAACAACAACAAAATGTAACAAAAGAATTAAATCAGACTTCTATATAATTTTATTTTTTCCCCACAATCGACAAAATCAGTGATATTAAAAAAAAAAAAGAAAGAAACCTACACATTTAGAATCACACAAAAAGTTGGAGTGAAATGATACATCAGACTTGTAATTCACCTGATACATTTGACAGTGATTTAAAAAAATGGTTTACCTCCAGCTCCCCAACTATCTCTTTAAACAATGTGTTGAGTTTAACTCAAATAGTGTACGATTGATGAATATCTTGACAAATTAACAAACTTCAATTGCATCATGTTTTGCAGCTAATCTTGAGATAGAGCTTTTGATATCAGATTTAATAGTCAAAACAGTGTTTGCTTAAACTGATAAATACCTTTTAGGGATGAAGTATCTCAAAAATTAATAAATGGCCTTTTAATTAAAACCCTACTGGAACCTAACATCAAATTAAAAGTTGGGCATTACAATAAATACATTCCACAGCAGCTCTTGCAAAACTCAAAACAGAAGGATCCTAGGTATCACATTAAAAGACCGCATCACAAATGAAGAGATTAAAGACAGATATAATACAGCAATTGGATCCCCATGACGACCTGGTAACTATTGTAATAATGCAAACTAAAACTCTATGACCATATTACAAGGTCTTCAGGGCTTGCAAAGACCTTCCTTCAGGGAACAGTAGTGAGTATAAGGAAAAAGAAGAGGCAGACAGAGAAAATGACGGATCTGCCATTGAAAGAGGTTCTATCCAAGGCAAAAGACAGAGAGGAATAGAGAAAGATGGTCGACAAATCTAACAGTCCAACAGACTAAAAGGATAGGTGAAGGTGAAAGAGGGGTCTGAACCTGAAGACAATAATCAGTGAACTGTGGTGTTATTTCACCCTTAATTATTATGTATCTATCATCTCTGATACATCCATTGATACAAATATAAAAGTAACAAAAGTATTATTAAGGTGATACTACTGGAATGACAACTTTAGCCTTGATGTAAATGAAAGAAATATATAGTATTTAAAAAAAATACATAATCTATTTACAACAACAATGACACCCTTAATTTATAACAGTTGTTTGCATTGTAGTATAATATCACAACATCAACCATAAGGAAACAGTGAATTTCATTGATATACCACAATCATCATCTTTAAACATTTTGCCCATATAAGTGCTTTAAAAGCAACACAGTGGTAGAAGAGATTCTCCAACATGTTAGACAAACACCACAAGCTTTAAGTTTACCAAAAACAGTGTAATCAACACAGTAGATATTCAGAATAATGTAGTCCAACTTAAACATTTCTCAAAACAATAAAGTCTAATGTAAACTTTAAGCTAGTCAAAACAATCTAATGCAACTTAAACACTTAACTAGTAAAACAAAATAAATAAAAATAAACAATTACAACTTTACTATATTTGAATCAATTTATTCCTTAAAATTTAAATAATAACAATTTAATTTCTGTTTTCAGAAACACCAAATAATAATTTAATTTTTTTTACGAGATGGCTTGTGATGCATTATAAGGGTAAAGTGCTGGCAGATGAAAATACATATTAAAGTTTATAAAAAGTTAGAAGCACCCATTACTTAAAACACACAATCATAAAAGCTGTATATGATATAAATAATATAAACAAATATATAGCACTGATATTGGATGTTTTTATTTCACTCATATTGAAAAAGTTTATATAAAAAAAAAAGGTGAAGAAGATATTTTTGTGTTTAATGGTAGCTAAGGATGTCTGATGTATAATATTTACATAACAGCTGATTTTTTTTTTATAGGAATGTCATGCAACAAATTCTGTTCTTCTCTAAACAGCAACAATACAGTTATACATACAGCAGAATTTTGGCATGTGAATTCTGAAATCCTAAAGGCATTTTTTAATCTCAGAGAACTCAATTAAACATAATGGCCCATTACTTATTGTTTTTTACACATTATGGCATTGTTATTACTTCAAACCTGTTCCACGAACTGTGTACAGTACTTGTTCTCTCCCCCCCCCCCCCCCAAAAAAAAAAAGAAATCAAGATGAAGTAGCCAAAAAAAAACATATTAAAGTATGAAAAGTATATTCATTTCAATTTGGAAATATCAAATTTATTTCTGGCATTAGTTCTTGTTGAACGTCAGGTACATTTTAAAAAATAATAAATAACTTGAGTAGCAGCTCTTGCACTACTAATAAAAAATGTAATAATCATATAATGTTATCTGAGTTCCTTATAATAGATTTAATTAGGTTAGACATGTCTGATTTAGAACAAACACTGAGAAATATCCTTAAAGGTGTGTGCTCATTTAACAAACATTAAAGTAATTGTGTTGTATCACAAATAAAAGCTTTGTTTAATTTCTTTGAAATAAGTATCTAGTAGAACAGCTTATATTTAGGGCATATATTTGTAAGGGTAGAAACACATGTCATTTTTTAAAAACATAAATAAATAAAAAATGAAGTTTAAATGTTTGCAAATCAATCTTGTGAATGATGTAGTTTGAAAACAAAAAAAAAAAACAACTAGACTCAAGTATTAAAGATGCATACAATTTTCAAAATACCTAATAATTGAAATTCAGTAGAATAGGATTTCAGATTAGAATGACCATTTGAAAACAGAAAGTGTTAATAATGTAGGTGTATGATGAATAAATAATATACAAAACAAATTTATCCATAATAAAAAGCCTCTTTTTGAAATAAGCATGCTTTTTTTTTTTTTTTTTTTTACAAATGTAAAATAACTAGGAGAGTGTAAAGCTTGGGTCAAATTTTGAGAAGAAAAATGTTACTATATTTATTATTAAATACAGGCATTCATTATCTATGGCAATAAAAATTTTAATTGTGGGATATAAAAGACCTTGCATTTGTTGAATGTTTATTCAGTTTTTGAGTAAAAGACTTTTTTAATGCAGATAAAGCTAAATAATAGACACCTAATTTTGGAGCTAGGATATATTTACAAAGATGAACTAATATGGGTGGAAATGTTGAGCACAATAAGGTTTAAAAGACCCTTTGATATATGAAACTGAGTTGAACTATACATAGAAGACTATTACAATACATACACATCTCAGACTTGTTAACCAGCATGTTATTTATAACTATACTATTTTAATATTAACATTTCCTCTCTAAACTTACATTCACCCCCTCCCCTCTGAACAGTCTTGGACTGTGCTCTTATTACGATTTATAGATTTAAAAAAAAACATTATTCTTAATCAATAGCAATCATTCATATGAAACTAATTTTCTATATTTTAGGACTTACATTCATACTTGTCAACATGTAAAGTAGCTTATATTCAGATATTTTTGAAGTATATTGAACAAAGAAGAACACAAACTAAAATAATAAATACATCTAACATTATATGACAAAACAAAACATTGATAAATAAGAATTTAAAAAGAAAACTACATGAGTCTAATGGCTAAAATAATGGTTAAAAAAATGTTAAGAACTAGCAGTGAAATTATTAATAAATCTAGCAGTTACACTTTTAAAGATATTAATTTTGTTTTTCAAATAACAGCAAATATAATATATTACTTCTTGTAAATAAAAAATTAAAATATACACTTATTAGTAAAAGTTTCCGACTATGCACAAAAGTATTGGATAACACTTAAAGATATTTACTTAAGTCAAAAAAATTCCGAAGTATTTTTTTTTCACCAAGAGAAAATGTTTGGTTAGAGCAAATTTAAAAAAAAGCCTTTTTTTCCCCTGCAATAGATCATTTATGTTATTAATTTATACTATAGAATATTCATAGAAAATAAGAGCTTAATCAAAAGCATTAAATCATCATTATAAAACATTTTGTTTTTTAAGAGAAGAAGCAAAATGTAACTTTCTTTAAAGACTAATGTAGGACTAAAACATGAAATGGTTAGGTACATAAACTAAGGCTATTTTTAAACCTTCAATAATAAGTCAAAGCTGTTTTGCAAGAACAGGAATAGTTACTAGAATAGAAGACTTGCTAGTTGAAATCTTACTATTTCTTATAAGTTTGAATTTTACTTAGATCAACTTTAAATGGGATCAACTTTTTGTTTTCTACCATTATCAAATATATTTTTTAAAATGATGCTCTAGGATAACTGAAACATTTTTTTAAAATGTGATTATTCCAATTCATCACAGGGTTCCCCAACAAAAGAAGCCAAAAATAAGAAACAGTCTGAACTCTTTTTTTATTTTTTTTATTTTGTGAAGTGAACATTACTTTAAGTTTTGAAATGCAACTATTATTATTTTTTTCTTTTTTATCACACTGCCTATGCCTAGCAGTAAATTTTTAACATCAGTGCCTCTAATATAATTCTGAGAATTATTATAAATTTCTTAAAGACATCATTTGAAAAGAAAAAAATTGGAAGACACTTTATGTAATCTAATTATAACAAATATTGGATAGTTTGAACAGTTTGAAAATGAATGCGAAGATAATGTTTATGACAGAGAATTTCTCAATTTAATAAATTATAGCACATTAAACTTAGTCCTATGGTGGACTAACTTATAGTATAAAAATCTATAAGCTATATTAATAGATTATATAAATAACCTGGATACTAATTTCATTGCAAGACATGACTCACTTTCAAAAGTAAGCATTCAAGGTAAAATGGAAAGAGCATGATAAATGGGTCATCCAAAGAAAAGCTGGATAGACAACATGAGAGAATGGACAGACCTCGCTCTTGTTATCTAGCTAGTGACAGGTGCTGAAAGGAAGAGTGGAGAGATTTAGTTATGTGAACTGTCACAGCACCCCTTCCACGAAATTCAAAGGGCAAATGAGACAAAAGTTAAACTCACTCCAGTCCTTAAAAAATATTAAATGATCAAACTTACAACCTATAAGAAAAACATATAAGTGTGAACTGAAAGTGGATAGATTTGTAATGTGTTAAAAAGCAAATATTACATTTTTGGTATAAGATGGCTGTCACTTGCTTGTCAAAAAATAAGAAAACAACAAAAACTATGTCCTGAGGGTGATTGCAATGAATCAAAAAACTTAAAATTGTAAATTTAGAAAAAAAAAACCTGCTAAGAAACACCAACCTTCAACATCTATTGTAAGTTGTTTATATATGTATGTTGTATGTATTGCTTAGTACACCACACCATTCCAAACCAAATTTGTAAGTGATGACCAGGAAAAATTGATAATTATAGCTTTAATTTAAAAAAAAAAAATTTCAACTAACTTTTGAATAATTTATTAAGGCATTTCATTATCCTATCTAGCTGAAATTTTGCACAGTAAGTTGTGCCGTCTGACAACACATTTTATTACAATTTCAGAAAAATCACTTCAATAATTACTGAATTAATTAAAAACTTTTACATACATTTCAAATCAAAGTGTTCCATCTATGTGACTCGGGGGATCTAACAATTACATTGTATTTTTCTTATTAATAATTATCAGTAATATCACTTTTGCTTACAGCCAACCCTATGCAAAGGTTATGAATGTTTAGTTTTTATATTATTTGAACATAAAGTAGGAATTGATTAAAAAATAATTATAAATTACATGTCAAAGAGTGGGAACCCTGTGACTAAAAAGCAGTTAATGAAGCATTTTGACCATGCCTTAATGGTTTGCAAAAGAGGTGTAGCTAAAAAGGACATGTATTGATAGAAGCTAAGCTAGATCACCATATAATATGTAGTGAAAAAACAAAAACACCCCACATTGTACATCCATAAGATTATGAAGCAGTTAAGATAACTAGAAACAGAAAAATACCAAGACACTGTTACTTTTTTTCTGCTTTTCTTGTTTCATCCTCAAGCAGCCTTTATATGCAAAACAAAAAGTGTACAAATGAAACATAAAACTATTGATGAAGCAGACTGGAGTTGTTTGTTTTTTAAAATAAAAATGAAACTACAATAGCATAGTGTCACAGAAATGACCTCACACCTTCTCCCTGAACCCCCCCCCCCCCCTTTATGCACCTGCAAATCATAATGCTCGCCCTTATAGTATCCTTCTCTCCTTCTCTGGTCACAAACCTCCCCTTTTTTTTCACCCCTGCTTATTGTGATAGTTCCCTACATACACACTTGAATTGGAAGGGCACACACACAATTTTGGCTGGTAAATTCTAGTTTACAAAAACCGCATGATGAATGAAAAGATTAGAAACAGGATTGTTTCCCCTATCAATCAAATCATTAAATAGAAACAATCTGATATAAACTTTTCACATGTAAATTATAAGCGAATTAGGTGTGAATGTACATTTTGGTTTTTTATAGTTACAATGTTTTGTTTAGTGTAATGCACAAATTGTAAGACAAATTTCCTTATGGACAATAAAGATTATTATTATTATATTAATACAGCAAAATTGGACCCTATGATGAGCTGCTAACCACTGTCAAAAAAAAGTAAACTCAAACTCTATGGCCACATCACAAGGTCCTCAGGGCTTGCAAAGACCTTCCTTTAGGGGAAAGTACCAGGAAGAAGAGGAAGACAGAGGAAGCGATGGGAAGGTAACATCAAAGAATGGACATGCCTGTTACTGAATGAAATTCTATCCAAGGCAAAAGACAGAGAGTAATTGAGAAAGAAAGATTGACATATCTAGTGTGGTGCCCTAATGGTTCGACAGACTAATGGACTCAGACTCAGGTGAAGATGAAGAAATTCTAGAATCACTTTTCTCTCCCCCACCAAACAAAATAGTCTTAAATACAATTTCTAACTTTTCTGGACTTCTCAATTCAATATCAAAATATATTAAAAAGCTTTATTTCACTTTTTGTCCCTACCCCCAAAAACTGTAAAAAACAAACAAAAAACAAAAAATCCCCAAAACACACACACTTTAAACAAACCTGGTGTTTTCGAGAGGAAAAACAAAAGAAAATTTCATTTATTGGTTAACATTTTAAAGTGTCCACAATGGCGAGTTACGCATCAATGAATTATTGATTAAATTTCGTTTTTATGAACT